GTGTTTTCCTGCAAAGAAACGAAACCGGGGCGGGGTTTTTTATGTTTTTTTTTTTTTTTTTTTTTTAAACTGTTCTTTAAAAATCAAAGACATTTAGTTTCTGAAGTACATCCCTCAACTTCAGAAAACCTTCTGGGGTTCAGCAGGTTAAATTCATGGCCTAACATACTTGATCCCATGTTAATCTTGGTTTAAAATAATGCATAGCCTACTGTGTAAGAGTTATGAAGATAAAAAAATGCAGAGGTTGAAATTACAGACAAGACTCAGAAGACAAGAAAAAAAAAAGAATTATTAGTAAGTAAGAAGTAATTGTAAAATTCAAGAAATCCCCTGCAGGCCCCTCGGTTCTGCTGGCAGACCAAGATGCTAGTGGTAATTTCTGGTTAGTGAGTGTGGAGGAAGGTATGTGACGTTCCGCATGGCTTCACCATTACAGTTCCTCTACTCTTCTGTGCTCTCTGTATGCAGAGAAATCCTACAGGCTGGTATCACTTGCTTCCATTTAGTAAGGTCGCTTTGAGGCAGTTTTATTACTTACTTCACTGTATTATTATTTAATCATCAGTGCTATTTACCCCCCCCTTTCTTGTTTGCTGTCACTTGCTTAATTCACAAAACTACAAATTTGCTATGTTGAGAAATTTTAGCTGTTTGCCCATACTTTTCTGTCCTGTCTAGCCCTTTTCATCCTTCCTGTAAAATGAAAATATTCAATAACATCTTCAGGAAATAATCAAATTGATATGCTTTTTTAAGACATGATGGCATAAAAGCAAACTGCTGAAGTAACCCTCTTTCTCCTTTCCGTTAAACATTGAAAAGTATTTAAATGTATTTATGCAGCATCTCTCCCATAAACGTTCTTATTTTATGTTGAAAGCAGGTCTTTCTGAATGGCTAAGGTTGTAATTCGTGCGCCAGATATTAAAAAAAATGCCCACGTAAGCACAGCTGGGCTGGAGCTGATGAGAAACAGAAACGGCCGCTGTCGCATAATGCGGCCTTGTACAGAACTGCCTGCGGGGGCGGGGGCTGGGACCGAGCTGGGCTCACGCTAGGCTGTCAGAAACACCCAAAGCAACTTATTTCGGGTTTGCTGGGGCCCAGCCCTGAGCTGTGCTGTCACACACCCCGCTGCAGTGAGGTCCCACGCTGCCGTACCGGGCCCCGTGGTGTCGGGGCGGTGTCTCCCCGTGAGCCCCCGCAGCCCCCCAAAGGCAGGTCCTGCAGCAAACGCTCCCGAGGCAGCAGCTCTCCAGCCAGAACACCAGTCCTTTAGAGAGTCACAGACTGGGATCATCTCCGCAGTCAGCACTGCCCCAAGGCTGTCCTGCAACGCTGCTTTCCTTAAAAAGCTTATTAATGGAACACAGTACTTTCAGTAGAGGTTTTTTTTATTATCTTACTGCATCCAAATCATTAATTTCCTGTAAGTTCAATTTAATAGGGCAATACTGAAAGTAATTTTCTATTAAGTCTACAAAGTCCGAGGCCCTGATTTGCTCCCAGTGAAGCTGATAGGAATAGGATCAGGCCCCTCATCTCTAATGAGCGAGTCTCTAATTGCTGCCCGTGAAATGACAGAAAGTACCTGTCGGTGATGTGTAAAAAAGCTCACACAAAATTCCAGTTTTATGCTGCTGTGTAATTGTGAGATAATATTTGTGTTGTATACATAACCTTACAAAGAGGTACTTTGTAATACATGATGCCTTTTCTCTAAGCATTGGGAGGATAAAGGGATAAAAATAAATTACAAACCAAATATCCCATGTTCACACAGTTGAGGGTAATAAAGGCAGTGAGGTCAAATGATCTGACAGCCAAAAGGCACAACATGCAGCATGCAAGATCCCGACCTCCCTTCTCGTTTCCCAAATACTGCACTAGCAAAGCTTTGCCATACATTAGAGTGTACTACTTTAAAAATTAATCAAAGACATTTTTCTTACACTTGCAATTCACACATTTAAAAAAATCCCATCTACCTGCTAAAGGGAACAGGAAAAATCAGAGTATTTCCTCTCAGCAACAACCTCCTGTGCCCTACTCAGCCCGAAGTTTGCTGGTGCAAATTTCAGCAGACTCTGCTTTGCTAGAACAAACCCTAATAGAGACAAATATTTTGGAGATTTTTTTTTTGTGTGGGTGAGAATGTTTGCATACGGTGAAGTCAGCTACAAATCCAGTGAGAGAATTTTGGTCCTGTAACCACTTCTTGTTTGGGACAGACAAAGCAGAGAGATCTGTGCAGAGAGTAGACTGCTCTGAAAGCATGCTCAAAGAACCACACTATATATATATATATAATTTTTTTTTTTAAAATTTCAGAGGGTTTTAAGATATTAAAAATGCAGTGTAAGAGATTCACTAGTTACACTAGTCTCAGGTGTCATTCTGACAATGAAGGGTGTCTCTTAATGTCAGCACAGCAAGCTGGGCTCGAGACAGCTTTAACTGTCTTGAGGGAGTTATTACTTACAAAAGGAAGGTGCCCACTGCACGCTGACCTCCACACATTTACGGTTAATGGACACAGATGAATATATTTTGGTCGTTTCTGGAATTGCTAACCAAAACAACCAAGCCAGAACGGCCACAGGTTGTGGAGCAGGTAAGGAGGAGAACACAAAACATTTGTTAATCGCAGCTGAATCATCCTGAAGGAGGTGTTACAGTTACTGCACTAACCCTGCGCGGGCTCCAGCTGCTGGGGAAGGGGATGAAGGCTACGTTGTCGGGCAGGAACGCTGCTGCTGCTGCCGCCTGACACAGAGCTGTTCCTGGGGAGACGCCTGGCTTCACACAGCAATCCTGCTGTGGGATTACCAGGGAACAGAGGGCGTTCATTCAGCCCAGTGAAGCCTGCCAACGACAGCACTGTCACAGCCCCGCCAGCATCCTACAGAAATTAAGCTTAATCTACTGTTGGACAGGAAGGCTTTTAAATCTAGTCCCTGGTTGATACCTTGCTGGCAATCCAACAAGCAGGGAAAAGAGAGAGCAGATGAAAAGCTGCAAAAATAAAAAAACACTGTTACGCTAACAGTAACCTGTAAGGAAATAAATGATTACATCACCTACTTAGAAAAGCATTATTCCTGCTTATTCTGAATAAAGGTTTGAAAAATAATAATTGCTGCATATTAGATTTTTCAGATATCGCTTTTTGAAAGCTTTCTGCTGCAGAGGCAGTAATAATTATTGACTTCTTGTCAAACGGTTGTGATGTGGAGATTATGTGCCTCCAGACAGTAAGGAATTATTGAAGTTTTGTATTAGCTGCATTTAAACTATGCAGCGATTTTGGCATGAGGATTAAAAGCATTCTCTTCAAAATCGGTTTTAAGAGTTTAAGAAGTAGAATACCCAAAGTTTATTTTGAGCTCGGTGTCAATTTATCTCAGTAATAGGAATTAAAAAAAAAACCCAACAAAATAATTTCTTTCTATTTTACATGATTCCCATGACATTAGGCACGTTATGGTAAATAAATATAAAAGATGTCCCATATCGTCTTCTTACCACATCGCCTTTAGTGCACAACTCGTGCGTTACCATGAGCCACGTGCAGTTTTTCTTCGGGATCCCCCCGCTGTTTATATCCTAGCAACGAAGAGACAGGATTAAACCCGCGGATGTTGGATTTTTAGCGTTGTATATTAAAAAAAAAAAAAAAAAAAAAAAAAACCCCACCTCGGGCCCGGCCCACTCCAGAACCGGGCCCTCCCTCACCGCGGGGGGGGGCGCCTGCAAGAGGACCAGGCGGCCGGAGCAGGAGCTGGTGGTGCAGAACCGGGGCCGCCCGTTCAACAGCTGCACGACGCCGGCCGCCCTTTCGTCCAGGCCGCCTTTCCTGCTGGCGTCCGTCCGCCCCAGGCACTGGGCCTTGCGCTGAGGGAACGCCGCCATCTTGGCAGGGGAGGGGGGGGGAAACGGCGAAGGCGACGGCGGCCCGCAAGGGACAAACCTCCACGCGCGGGGGGGCGGGGACAGCCGGGGGCGGGGGGGGG